GGACCGATTTTGAGTGGACATCGCCTATCCTACAGGTGGCTATAAGCCCCGCCATCCCAAAGACTGTTAGAGACATGAACTGAGTAACAGTGGACTTGAGATGGGCAACCGCGAGACGCTTACCCGATGTCCTCAACTGATTGATAGTTTGGTTTCGCTTATCCTGAGCACATTATTTTCCATAGAAAGACTGATGGATAAACTGTACAATTTCGAAGTGAATTTTTGCGTTGAAAAATGTGGTGTTTCTAGTCGATAACTTCTTGGGGTAGGTTTATCAAGTGGTTCGCTCAAGGTGTCCACAGGCGTCCGCAGGTATGTATATATTTGGGGCGGTTAAGCACGACCATATAAGAAGTAGCAGCAATTCCGGTAGTATATCTGCACTAGTGCGTTAACCCATGGCACGATTTTTCACATTGGCTTTTCCAACTATTTGTTCGAAGAACTCTATGTCTTTGCAGTGATCGCATTACGTCTCGTCTTCTTCTAGTTTCCCCGCTCTCCCAAGCATCTTGCATCATATATTTGGGCTTGTCGCTGACTTGGGATCTGCAACTTCACCTGAGTAGCGCAAAATAAAATTCCTGACTGCCCATTTTAATGGTGCCTGAGGGATACATTTCTTGTTGGTTGCTAGCAAACGCACCAAACATCTCTCTCCATCCATTTGCCCACTCTACTGTCTTACTATGCGATAAATTGACACATGGAAAAACTACATTTTAACTGAATCCCAAGCTGTGCGTGCTTGAATGTGCCTTCATCACCCCGTGGATTCAGTTACGCATACCTAGCAGTGGTTGATTGGCCTACGGCCTGGAGTGACAATTACCGAATTTCAACTGCAAATAGCACGCTGGCAAAAGTGGTCACGTAGGTGGAAACTGCTAGACTGTTGAGCAGGGATACTTTTCTAGGGTTGCAAGCAGCCTCAGCAGTATATTGCAGTTCCAAACAGCTTTTGCTCGGTAACAATCGGCCTGTTGATCAGTCGATCAACCAATCCAATTGAAAGTGAGATCACCTTGCCAAATTCACCTCAGAGGAATAAAGCCATTTACGGATTAATGAATTTGAAGTAATGGATACAAGTGTAAGCTCAGTAAACGTATATTTTGAGGTGTGATATTCTGTGCCGATGAAGCAGTTGGCAACTTACACGGACTTACGTGAAGTAAACCCAAGTACCACTACCATGGCAGTGAACACGACTGCTGCAATTAACGCCTTCGAGGTAGGACCGCCGGTCGTGGTGCTAAATGAGGTCGAGGCAGAATCGACTAAAGTGGGGATTACAGGAATCGGTGTATGCTTGCTTGTCATTGTGATAATAGGGGTCGCTGCAGATCTCACCGTCTTGATAGTTGCGCCTTCCCCTTCCATCCAAAACCAGACTTTCCCTTCATGATCTCTTTAAATACACATACACCACCTGCTGTTAAATGTATACTATGGGGTATTTATGACTGTCCTACCATTACTTCTCTTAAATGCGTCCGGGCATTTTTATGCGGTTGATTAATAGGAAGTAACCTGCGGGATTTTGATAATTGTCTCGCAAAGGCGCATTTTTATGCTTATTATCAAGTCCTCCAGTTAATTTTGATTTATATCACAGCCATTGATAAAACATGTAGAATGGACTAACCACCATTCGACCGTGGCTTAGTTGCCCATGGGAATTCACCGTGGGAACGGACGTACTCGAAATTTATTAAAAATTCCCAACGACTTTGTGCATTAATAGAGAGGCAAAAGGATTTTCCTCCTCATTTCAAATGTTTGAAGTTATAGAGGCGACTTGAGGGGAGTCGGATTATTTCCTGCTCTTCACCATCGTGAGTCCATATGATGACGTAGCCAGTAATGCCACTGTGGGATTTAGCCGGCACATCCCGTGGCATGCACAATGTGTGAGGGTCGATGTCAAACAGTTTCACATTTGGGGGAACACCAACACCTACACAGTACGGAACGAGCATAGTTGTCATTAGTGATGGGATGACAATAAATTTCCACATGCGTCCCATGTGAATGAGGATGTGTGTTAATGCAAAAAAA